TTTTTTTTTTTTTTTTTTTTTTTTTTGTCGGTCTGTCTTACACAACAGGACGAGACATGTGATAATTTCGGTCACTATAACTTTCTTGGCCTCAAACAGTCTCCAAAAGAGTATCAATTCTGGGACGAGAACACGGAACGAGAAGTTGTTTCGAAGCCGGACCTCCTCTCGAACCCCAATTCAAGCCCGAACTCAGCTTCCACAAGTGAAGTGGTAATGGAGGAAGAAGATCAAGAAGATCAAGAAGATGATTGTTTGAAACTTCTTTCCAAAACCATTCCCAATTGCTCAAACCACAAAGCTAATGAAATCTCAGCCAAAATCCTCCAATGCAGGTCCAAGAACAGCAAGAACAGGTATCATAATCATCATGATCATCAAGAAAGTTGCTGCCTTTTGTTCATAGGAAATGAAGAACAACGCCAATCCAAGGAACAAACAGCAAGAGAATTAGCCAAATTCTTCTTTGGATCACAAACAAAACTCATATCCATCAGTTTGAGCAGCTTCAATCATGAAAAATCACAAAAATTCAGCAAAAAAAGGACCAGAGACGAACTGGGTAGCAGTTATTTACAGAGATTTGCAGAGGCAGTGAACGAAAACCCTCATAGACTGTTCTTCATGGAAGATATTAACCAAATTGATCACTGTTCCTTAATGGGTATTAAAGAAGTCATTCAAAAGGGAAGTGTGAAGCTTTCTGATGGGGAATTTTGTCTCCTAAAGGATGCGATTATTGTCTTCAACGCCGAAGAACGGACCATTAAACAAGAACAAGAACAAGAACACGAACCATTTGTTTCATTGGATTTGAACATAGCCGTTGAAGATTCAAATGGAGACAGAATCAGATGGATTATGGAAGAATTTGTGGATGGGAAGATTTTATTTTCATAATTATTAGAAAACTTTAATTTTGGGATTAGTTTTTTTTTTTTCTTTTGTTGGGATGAATGTAAATGTGTAAATTATTAATGCAAATTCTCTTGGGATTTTCATTTTTGGTTCATAAGATCATTAAATAACCGAATATAAGAAAATAAATGTGTTATAATATGG